CAAGTATTTCCCAATTTAAAATATTTTATCTAATTTTCTTTCTTCATAGTATAGTATTATGAGTGAACCATACTCTTACTAACTTTAGAGTATCTGTAATAAATTAAGTTGACCACTGAACTTTCATTAATTGTGAATTTATGGTGGATACCTACTGACTCTTACCAGGAAGAGTCTATGTCAATGATCTTCAACAAAATAAAAAATCTGTTTTCTCATAAAGCGGAGAAAGTTTTAGTTTTCGTGTGTTGTGTTGGGAAGAGTTCCTTAATATCGCAACATGATCCTCGGATCTAAAGGTTTCGATTTTTCTTGTTTTCTTCATGGGTTTATATTTTGAAAAAAAAAATTGGAAATAGAAACAAAAAATTTACTTTCATTTTTCTAAATTTCTGCAAGCAAAAAATAGGAACATTGCCAGAGTTAAAACTATCTATGGTTTGATAGATAAAACTTTGGTGCTTACATACAAACTACTTTTAGTTTGTTGTCCTTTAATTTGAATTATGAATTACATTTAGATGTCTTTCTTAAAAAATACTGTTATATGTAAAAATATTATTTCTAATGCTACCATTTTAAGCTACAATGTGAATTTTCTTAATATTAAAATAATTGGATTTCTATAAATATTTATCTCAATTTTTTTAAATAAAATCTATTCTCTCTCTTACATATTTGAAGTTTGAAATTTCACAGCGTTGTCATTTTATATATAATCACTTCCAATTTCTCAGTCAAACATAAATCTGTAGAATTAAATAATGTAACTTTACATTTTTCTTATTAATTTGTGAATGCGATTTCTTAGGTTGTATGCCCGTAGAAACGTTTTTGTTTATTTATTACTATTATTATTTTTTCTTCTTGTTCCTCTTTTTAATATAGAAAAACTTAATTGCTTTTTGTAAGTGTTTTGTTGTTCTCTAAAATTTAAGTTAAAAAAAATTATATGAAAATGAAAATTTCAAAACTGGTATGTTATATTAATTTTTTAATGTAATTCATTGTAATTCGAAGACATAAATATTAGCTTAATTTTAATATAGTTAATGAACTAAATAAATGTAAATTATCTATATCAAGGATACATTTGCAATGTTAAAATCATATAAAAGGCATATAGTTTTAAAAAATACGGATTCTAACTATCTATGGACTCGAAAGAAATTAAAAAACAATAAAAATTAACATATAAATTGAAATTATTAGCAGGACAGGAAATTGAACTATTTGATAATTCGTGTTGCAGGAGGAGGTGGTGGTGCTAGTTGGAGCCGTCGCAAGGGCCGGCGGAGCACCGGCGACTTTGGGAAGCTT